TTGACGGCTTCAAAGCCGTCCGAATGGAATTCACATGAAATGTATGAAAATGGAATCGGATTTGTTTCCGTGCAAGAAGGCTATAACCTACACTCAAAAAAAAAATGACACGTTCCATTCATGTGTTTTGGAATATGAAGACCGTTCATTACTTGTCACCATAGAATCATGTGCTTTTCACACGGATGTCATGAGATTTACACACACAAATAATATGTTTTTGTTGCTTATGAAATCAATACTACCACACATTGATTTTATGTGTTAACTTATCGAAATCAAAGAGATCCCCATATAATTATGCGCTACTGTTTCCTACTAGTGTATTTAACGTGTATGACACATGAATTGCAATGGATCTCACTAAGGATGAGAAGAGTACCTAAAGTGTCAAAACAAACATGGAAGGCAACAGCTAGCAGAGAAGACTTGTTAGTGGAGTTAGGTTTTCCTAACAAAATCCTCGAAATTATTAACCGTGAGTATGTGAGTATTCTTTGTAGGAAATTATATGTTTAAATAAAGGGATCACTATACACACTAAGAAATAACTAATTTTACACGTGACGGAATCCGTCTTTGACATAAAAGTAGAGACGTAAACAAACATGTCATGTAATGTTTAGTGCTCCGAGACTAAAAAGTTAGTTATGGCTCAAATTTATGTCAAAATTGACGCTCGTATGTCACTCTCAGAGCACCTAAATTTATATGATTTTAATTCTAGAACGAAAATGAATTATTTTGAACATCCGATTCTACTACTACGTATACAGAAAAAAAAGTACAACTTTATTCACAAATACAGCGATATTTGATTTGATAGTTTAAGCTATCTACTGATTAATCTACTCTACACACAATATGAAAATATAAATCAATATATCTAAAATGAAATATATCGTGTTTATCATTTTTACATACTGAAACCCGTTCAATAATTATCTTTTAAGAGGACAGTAGTAATGTATTAAGTTTCAAAGGTATCGGATAACATTTTTCTGTTTGTACGGTGCTATTGGAATGCAGTATGCATGACTAAGATTTGCTTAAATTAAATTCCGTTATCTTTTTCACAGCAACAAATCAAATCTAAAACCAATAGTTATACTATTAGATTGCAAAAAGGTCTTTCATGAAATTCATGTGCATCACGCTTAAATTTAGCATGTCTGGTACAACATATTTGTATGCAAAACATTTCATGATTAGAAATCAAGCACATGACGTTGACATTTAAATCAAATGAAATTCATGTGTGCTGTAAGTGAATGAAGCATGGGTAAGGTATGACTGATTTCATAAGTTATACATTTGAAATTAATGTGTTTGCCACATTGCGCCAATTCAAATGTGAAACACATGAACGGAACGTGTAGATTTTTTTAAGTGTAGGCTGTAACTAAAGCTATAACGATGAGCGCTCACTAATCGCGACTGCTCATTATAGCTAAAATAGCTAATTGTGATCCTCTGAAAGCAAAATTGACAAATTTTATGTGTCATATACAAGCTTTACATCCTCGTCTAGCATCTTACATATAAGATTTGTTATTATAATAGTGGAAATGTCTCTAAAGTTGGCCTATGGATCTAAGATTGGGCCCATCGCTAAAAATCTGCTATTTATCAATTTTATCTAGATGAACGCATTATTGGGACGTTACTAATGGATATTTTTGGTTGCTATTGAAAATTTAGTTGATTGCTGAATTTATGCATGGGCCCAAATTAGGGACACTTAGGCCGACATTACCTGCATTTACCCTATCTCATAGTTTCCGAATTTCAAAAAGTACGACTTTAGCTGTAATGAGCATTTGCAACACTGAATGCGGATCAAATAATATTAAAATACTTTTTTTGCCATTAATCATTGCTGAAAAAACCTACTACCGTAACCTCGGGATGGTGCATTGCAGCCATGTCGGGAAATCCTCCCTACCTGTGACCCGCTCGTGCTACAAGTTTATCTCGGTGTACACGCTAAATCAATTATAATCGGTCGTAATTTATTATCGATGTACCATAAATTATATTCCGCAGAGGTTGTGAAATTAATCCCCGTATTTATTGATGCAATGCGCGATCCGTGCCAATTCGCCGTTTTAAACCGCCTGCCAGTCCCTTCCTAGCATCTCTTCCTCGGTTATTATTACAACAGTATGTTTACTGAAATGCAGCCGCGCGGCGAGTGGCGATCAGTTTTGCACAAAGTGTGTGTGTGTATTGTCGTTACCGCTGAAAAATCAATTAGACCGATTTTACTCTCGTTCTATACGTTATACATATCATCGGAAGTAGTGCACATTATAGCGCATCATTGTGCGATTACAGCGCACTACTTCCGACACTATGTACAACGTACAGAACGAAAGTAAAAAACAATTTCCGCTTGTGAGTGCGATTTTCCAGTTTTCAGCTGTAACGACAATATATAGATGGCATGTCCGTGTAATTTGCACCCATGCCTCATCGTCGTCATATCGCCATCATCCCTAATGTCCGGAGAAAGAACCCATTCGAGCGCGGGATTGTACCTCTATGGTTCCCATCGTGACACTCGTTTGCTGTGTAAATACGGAGCCGGCCGAGAAGGGGAGGAAGGACGGTGAACTGACGGCCGTTCAGCTTTAACATGCAATCGATATTAGCGTGGTGATAACCGAGCTTGAGAGGGAGGAAGCGTGCTGGTAAAAGCAGAAGACACAACCCATTTCACGCCTCGCTCGCGTCTTGTTCGTCTTCACCCGGTCGCTCGGTCGGTCGGTCGGCAGTTTGCTGGTTAGTCTGTTTGTATGTTTTACGACCGCTATAATATTACGATTAATATGTGCGCCGATGCTTTTGCCGCATTAAGCAAAGAGGAGATAAATTAAAGCGTTTTATTGTTCGGGGCAAACGAGCGGACGGAATCTCTATGGGAAGAAGGTGGGGGAAGGGGAAATAGGAGACATCTGCCGTTTGTGTTATTTTTTTCGTGAAAGGTCAAACTCGAAGCAACGCACATATTTACATGAATAAGTAGTTCAAATGGGCGAAAATAAAATAAATCTATTATATTTGCAAATTTCATTAGTTTTTCGTTACCTCTATTCCCCTATCAACGTTTTACTGCGGGGTGTGAATTCATTGTGGCTGCTTAACATGGGTCAAATTTCATAACATGTGATTCGGAATATGTAGCAATGAATAATAAATCATGAGACCTCACCCTCTCCTTAAAGCTTTAACACAATTGAGTCCAGGGTTTTCGTGTTTGAAACTTTTCTTTTAATTGAATTAAATATTCGATTCGGTCAACATTTAGTTTAGCTTTTGAGTAAATTTCAACAGAAAAATAAAATAAAATAAAAAATCAACCCTGCCTCCTGTGAGGTTTGAACTCACGACCGCTGGTTTACGAGACCAGCGCTCTACCACTGAGCTAAAGAGGCTCACATTTCCCCTCGGCAGAAATAAACGTTCGGTCTCGTGTGGTGGTAGCAACAGCAACAGCAGCACTGACCTAGTAATAAAAAGACAAACCCATACTGACATGCGGTGCGGAGTGGCAGCGATAAGTAGCAACGGCAAACTCAGCTGACGCAAAAGAACGGAAGAAGAGTGTAAATATACGGCGATGGCGATGGTCCAAAAAAAAAGCAGGCGAAAAGAAGGCCTATTGCCTCGATGTGAAATTGATTTTTTATGTTCTTATCGTTTTGCATTGCCGCCACGCTTCTCAGGGAAGAGAGCGTCTGCCTGAATTTGGCCGTCGCACGGCTGCTGTTGGGGTGACAAGAAAATGACTGTCTCTTTGATTCGGATATGTTCGTTCGAAGGGGATTCTAATTTTAGCCATCATAGCCCCATTTTGCAAGTTTACGAGTTTGGCATCAATTGTTCGTTTGGTTTGTGTGTATGGGAAAATGCTTCAAGCCTATTTGAACTAACCAGTGCAGTTTAGTCTGAAAAGATTACTTTTCTCTATTGCGAATATTCAAAAAATGTTAGACTAACTCAAAAAGTCAAAAATGTAATAAGAACTCTGAATCAGACAATACACGCTTAGTTCAGTTCACCCAAATATGGGTGAAGAACACCCATAATCGCGAAAAAGTGCACATACCCATTTTATGGGCAAAGTTGATTTACCCATATATGAGTACATGCACCTTACGAATAATGTAGGTGTTTTTTACCTATTTATGGATTATTGATTTTGGATGAATTTAACTCATATTTTGGTGAATATTTTCATTTTTTTCTTCTGAAATTTTAACGGATTAAATAAAAAATCAAAATGCTTTGTTTAAATTGTATTTTATTTGTAGCAAATATTAAACATGTACCACCAAACTGGACTATTTCAAAGATTTTATAAAAGCGGAAACGATCATATAATTGCGGTTTTGCGTCGAATCGTCTCGGTACCTTTTCCGCGCTTGTTACTCACAAAGCAAGGAATAAGTACGCCAAAGGTACAGAGTAAGAAAAAAGTACCCAAAATGGAGTTCCTTTCACTCATCACGTGGCTTCCGTGGGGCTAGGTAAAATTAAGTTAAAGAAGAAAACTCAATTTTGAGTAATCCTGATCGTTGACCAAGTTGACAAAAAATAATAAAACGGAGCAGACTGGAACCGAACCATGGGACCCGTGTGTTAACCACTCGTCTATCAACGCTTGTAAAACTGAAATGGTTAAAGGCGCATAAGAGCAACCTCAATGAAAATAAACTTATATTTGAGTTCATTTAGTATTACTCAATAGTTGAGTAAATTTTAACCAACGCCGCTTTTCTGATTCACTCAATGGCGGACCTCAAATGATAGAACCCAACGTTGAGTTTTTTAAACTTAATTTTGAGTATTTTTTTTCTTGCCGTGTACCGAGACTATTCGCCGCAAAAGTGCAGTTTTTGACCGTTTCGGAACTTTTAAAAGTCAGCCAAATAGTTCCAGTGAGTGGAAAAAATAATGTAAATATCGGCCAATCAACTATCATGCAAAATACTTACCTATCAAAGGGGGTCTTACGGAGCAGCACAGAACCTAGAAGGGAAAATTGAAAAAAAAAACATTGAATTACTATTACTTCCGTAAAATTACTAACCAGCCACCAATGGAAACGCTGGATGATGACACGGCGAGGTAAGCTTGTTCCCTCCAGCTTTCTCCTCCTCCTCCAAATAATGTAGAATTTCCACCAAGCTACTTACGAATTGCGGCTATTTGATTACGGAATTAAATTCGATTAAATTTCCGGAATGTAATTTGCTACGACGGATAATTAATACTGCATCGCACACTAGATCGCACACACACATAAAGCGAAAGTTGACGGTTTTGACAATGTTAAGTTTTTCAGCCAAATATGGGTAAAGTTTAATTACCCATATTTGGGTTAAGTCGCTTTACTCACAATGTAAGGAAATTTCACCGATTTTTGTCAGTATTATTTACCCATATTTTAGGTATTGTATTGTAACCCAAATATGGGTGAATCAACTACCTATTTATGGGTGAACTGAACTAAGCGTGTATAGCTCATACCCGTACTAGGCTGTTTATACAATGAAAATGATTTACACGGTAAGAAAAAAGTACCTAAAATTAAGTTACTTTCACTCAACACGTGGCTTCAGTGGGGCTAGGTAAAATTAAGTTAAACAAGAAAACTCAATTTTGAGTAATCCTGATGAAGAATCCATTGAGTAAAAATTACCTAACGATCAATCGAATGGAATAGGTGAAAAATACCCAACGTACCAGCATGCAACCGGTTTTCGTTGCAACTTTTTTTGTCACTACCCCCTACGGATACCATACACAAACGATATCATAGATGGTACGACCATACCGCATAGAGTTGGGATGATATCCAGAATTGGTGGTTAGGCGTTCCTTATGTTTATGCGGGATATGTACCAAACACTAACGAAGACTAATGTGAGGACTACCCAACTAACATTTTCAGCTTTATAAGCCAACTTTTCCAGCGTTGTGCTGTAAAGTAGCTGAAACAAAGCTGCAGATTCAGCTACAAGCAGAAGCGTTTACTCAACCTTTTCACAACCAACCACTTTTGCTGAGTAACATAAGGGGCTGTTTATAAACTACGTAGACAGACCTTTGGGATTCTTAACCCTCCCCCCTCGCCCAGCGTAGACAATTGTCCATACAAAAATTTTAAAATTTGTATGGGCCGTGGATAATTTTCAACTACCCCCCCCCCGCCCCTAAACTGTCTACGTAGTTTATGAACCGCCCCTAATCATCAAAAGTGCTTTTTCAACAACTAAACAACCTGTACTCAACTAATAAACTGTGTTAGCGCTACTTTGGAAGCTATTTTACAGTCAACTAGGTTTATTTTTAGACTTGTGCAGTTTTAGAGCTTTTACTCCGCTTCTTTACAAAGCTGAACTAACTAGTCGAGAAAAGTCATTCATGTGCACTATTATGAAGCCTCTACTCAGCGATCTTTTTGTAAAAGGGCATGTAAATTTTTTTACGTCAGTTCAAAGTGTTGGAGTAGCGAAGTTGGTAGTATCAAGGTTCGCCCAAGCGGGTCGTCTTGAGTTCGATTCCAGGTTCTGGAAGAGTGTAAAATCATTTGGTGGTGTGTTGTTGTGAATTAATTTCGATTAACTTTGATTTCACAGCAAAATAAACTCAATAAATTCCTCCATCAAAAAATAGTGTAAACAATATTTAACCCGGCTTTAAAATAAAGCTGTGTAGTGATTGTTGGATAACCAACCGGGGTGAAGGTTGAATAAGTGCCTTTCAAGTTCACACACAAACTAAACAGCAGGATATATCACAGCTGTATAGAAAAGCGGTAATGGATAATGCAATAAGAGCTTGTCCCAACCGTCCCAACAGCCATAAGGAGCTGACTAAGTTCGCCAGATTTGCTTGTAAAAAGAGGTTGAGTAAAGGTTTCCTCATATCATATAACGTTTTTGAATACAGCTTGAGGCTGTATAAATGCAAATGAGTAATGCTGGGTTCAGACTAGGCAAGTCAAATGAGATCAACTCAGTAGAATTCAATTGGCTTGAAAAGTTGAGCCTGGTTCAACTTTTTTCAATTCAAGTGAGTTGATCAAGTCAGTTGAATGGCATGGTATACACGTTCAATTCGCGTTCAAGTCAGTTGAATTCAACTGACTTGATCAATTGACTTGCTCTATCTAAACCCAGCTTAAAGCGTTTTCACATTGCGAAAATTGTTAGTTGGGTAATTGAGCAGGAACGGAGGCGATGGAGCACAAACAAATGACAGCATCGATGGCAGTGCAGGTTGCTATGATTTTCATCCAAAATTAAGTTAATAGTACCCAACGGTGAGAACATAACGGTTGAGTACTATTAACTGAAAATTGAGTTCTTTTTTACTTTGAATCGCAGCGTGTTTTAGTTAAATAGAATGTATCGATAAATATTACAGGATATACTTCGTTAATTACTTTACGCAATACGATTAACTAACATGTAAATTTTTTTTTCTTTATTAAGAAAAAAAAAAAAAAAAAAAAAAAAACATGTAATTTTTAAACAACTACGGAAAGTACTAATTCAATCAATAATGACAAATACTACGTTTTGAGCTAAACGATGATTAACAGAAAATTATCTTAAATTTTAGTTCATATATTATTACTCAATAGATGAGTAAATTTAACCCATCGCCGCTTTTCTGATTCACTCAACGGTAGACCTCAAATGATTTTTTAAAACTTAATTGTGAGGATATTCTTCTTACCGTGTACTTAGTTTGACAGTTGCACCATGACAAAGTGGCAGCGTATTCTTGATTTGTCCCACGCGCAAATGTCGCAAAAAGACATTTCAATCGCCGCGGGAGTGTCCCGGTGGACCGTCAAAAGGGTTTTAGACCGAGAAAAGAAAGGACAACTATCCGCGAAGGTGGCCATAGGTCGTCCGAGGTCAGCTTGGGTTCAGCCGGTTATCGCTGCTATCAAAAGGAAGATTCGGGTGAATCCAGTGCGTTCAATAAGGAAAATGGCAAAGGAACACGGGATCAGTGACTTTACGGCACGGAAGATCGTAAAGGAAGATTGCGGGGTGAAGTCGAGGGCACGGAAAAAAAACTCACATGATTAAATACCAACCGCATCTGGGAGCTACGAGTCGAACGATGCAAGAAAATCTTGAACTTCCTTATACCCTGGACAGACTATGGCTTATATCATGTAATATAGGCTGTCTTGCAATGAGCACTCATACATAGGATTTCCAGTGAAAACTAGATGTATGAGTGCTCATTGCAAGACAGCTTATATTACATGATATAAGCCATAGTCTGTCCAGGGTATTAAGTGAAAAAAATCGGTTATCCTGTTCACCGATGAGAGCATGTTTGCCGTCGATCCCGTATCAAATTCCAGAACCGACCGGTATATTAGTTCTCTTCCGGTAAAAGACGTGGCCGACGAGCACAAGAACGTGTATCTTACCAAGCATCCTGCTAGCGTTATGGTGTTTAGATTGGTGGCTTCCGATGGCAAAAAATGGACCCGGTGTTCATTTCAGAAGGCGACAATGTCAACAAGGATCGGGATTTTAAGTAAGCATGTTCTTCCGTTCTTCAAAGAACAGTACGGTCCGAAGCCAAATGTTGTATTTCAACAAGATGGGGCTCCGTGCCACACCTCGAGCCGCACTCAGAAGTGGTTGCAGGAACATCTTCCGTTCTGGGCGAAGGATATGTGGCCGCCATCCAGCCCCGATCTTAATCCGCTGAATTACTCAATATGACGCGTCATGAAGGCCAAGGCCTGTTCTAAACGCCAGCCGAGTACAGCAAGCCTCAGATAAACATTAACCCGTACCTGGAGAGAAACGGATCCAGACTACATAATAAGAACCTGCCGTGCATTCCGGAAGCATGTGGAGGCCGTAATTGCAGCAAGTGAAAACTCGATCGATGATTAACATATTTTAAGACTTTGAGAAACATCCCCCTTTAAATAAATTAAAAAAACTCGATGACGAAATTTTTGAGAATTTATTAATTTAGACATTGCTCAATGGTGCAAACATTATCACGCATAAGATACACTGGGTTGAAGCGCTACACCTTGCGTGTGATGAAAAACAGTGCTGATAAAAAATCATTCCTTTTACACTCAACTACACTCAAGCTGAAAGTGAAAATAACCTTAACAGATTGACCAACTACTTGCATGAATCTGAATTTCGACATGACAACATTCTCTTGATCAAGGCAACCTCTAAGCACAGACAAACAGACACAACACTCGCAAGTTTTATTTTTTTTATCGAATAGCGACGATGTTTTACAGTGAGAAATATTCAATGAGTTATGTCTGTTTGTCTGTGCTCTAAGTATCGTAGTCAACATTTGTTTTTCTTCATTCGTGACTCGATGTTCATTCTTCATCTTAGTGGGGATGATTTTGAGGATCAAATGCAAAATGATTATTTTCATTTTACAAAAATATAACACTGACGGACGTGTCGTGTTAGTTTTTACACACAAACCGATGGAAAATTATTGCCTCATGCTGAACTGATGATAAAATCCCGGTTTAAGGCTCTGGAGTCAACAATATTAAAAATGATCATTTTGCCCAAAATGAATTTGATTATTTCGCTCTTGAGGATCATTTCTGATTTTGACAATTTTGGGTAATCAAGCACTGGAGAATATCAACAAACTTCGCAACACTCAACTTATAATATTCCCACATAAGTCTAGAGCTGTGTTCACTCGGCTGTCGACAGAAGCAGACCACTCTCAATGTGTGTCACGCGATCGTCTGTTTACTCGGCAGCAACCATTGTGTGGTCCTCCTCATTGTTTTTCATCAGCAGTTCTTTCGGTCGATGCGTTGTCGACTTTGGAAAGCAACCGTTTCGTGATGAATGAATGTGTGAGTGCTGCAACGGAAGCGCTCTGACCCCCGTTGGCGAATCTGCCATCCAATGAAACCACTGGAAGCGGCTCCCGTTCTTTTTTTTTTCCTTTGGTTTGTTTTTTCCGTCGATCTTGTTTTCCGT